GCAGAGAAACAGAGAGAAGTGCAACCCTGGCACCCTGAAAAAGCACAGCAGTGCCTAATGAGTGAAAGCCTGTCCCAAGATGACCTGCCATTGGACTTGGGCACTTCATCCTGCACCAGATTTCTCAAGCCAGCATGGTAGTTCACCTGCCAGCTTACTTTCCTACTCTGAACTTATAAGGAGCCCTTCAGCTCCACATTCCTACCCTCTTGGCTTCCCAGCAAGATGGGAAAAGAAATGAGCAGCCTGCAGAGCTCTGGTGTGTGCTCTCGGTAAGTCAGTAAATATACACAGCCAAACCCCGTCCAGATTGCCGTGATTTCTCTGGCACTAAATCTGACCACCTGCACAAGGAGGTCCACTCAAGTCAGGTCTGTTACCTGCATGGTAAGGTCACTATTCAGAGTGAAAGGTCATTACTTGGCCTTCACTGAATAAAAGGGTTTGCTTGTTAACCCAATGGATGGCAAAGGAAATATTTAGATGTGATACACAACACTTCTGAAAAAGAAGAACTTCTTTCTTAGGGAGCGAAACCACAGTAGAAGCCAAAAGGAGCCAAATTACACTACCCTCCTGGACTAGCCCCCTTACCACAGAAAGTCTCTCTGAATTTCGATGTCAGCTTTTCAATCACACCGTAGGTCTCCACATAGAAAACATGTTCATCCAGTGGCTCACTGGCCATTACCCTCAGGGACTGCATGTCTGCCCGGTCCACCCCAACTGCGTAGATCTCAATGCCAGCTGTCCGGGCACTCGCTGCCACCTCTTGGACCTGGTCTTGTGGCCGTCCGTCTGTCACAACAATGACCACCTTGGGGATGTTGAAGGTTGCCGGCCGGGTGCCCATTTCCTCGGTGAAGACTTCATCCATAGCAGTCTGGATGGCAAGGCCAGTCATGGTGCCAGCAGACAAGGGCTCAATGCGAGACACAGCCTCTTTCAGAGAGGCTTTGTCGAAATAGGTCCGGAGGGGGAACTCCACCTTGACAGTGCTCGCGTAATTCATGACCGCCACACGCGTCGTCCTTTCCCCAACATCCAGGGTATCAATCATTTCTGACAGAAAGATTTTCACTTTCTCAAACTCTTCAGGTCGGACACTACGGGAACTGTCTACAATGAAGACAAGGTCCAGGGGCCGGTTCTTGCAGGTGGTGTCTGTCAAGAAAGAAGGGAAACACTTCAGTCATCTCCTACACAGGATAGAAGCTCTCACCCAAGAGGAGTGAGTGCTGTCATGGTAAACTACCCCTACCAGATAACGTTGCTTGATTCTTTAGGAAGAGGCTTAAAATTATAGTGAGCAACACATTAAAAATTTTTAAATATTAATTTTTACAAGTAATTAAATAATTGAACTTTTCTAAGTATTAACAGATTAACAGATAGGTGCACATTTGAGCCCTCAAAATGTCTAACTATCCTTCAAACTAAGGGTTGTGGCTTTCATGTAACAGCCAAAACAGAGATGTAGCAATGATATATAAATGTATTTACTGTTTATTTTTGTAAAGATAAAGTCAAAATTCCATTTTTTATAAGATAAAGAAATAAAATGGCAAAAGAACTGGCCAGATCACATAGTAAACAGATCTTAATATCTTTTAGGATAGTAGCATTACAGCTTGCTAAATAGGAATTATCTCTTTGTAATTCACAATCCAAAGTACACAAGAAGAAATAAAGGCCAACAGAAAAAAGACACAAACAATGATGCATAAAGGTTTCTTTAGAAGTTGTTTCTGTCTTAAAGCTTCTAGAGGATAGAGAAAAATAAAATTACTTATGAAGTAACTTTACATGTAAAAATGGACATTTACACACTTACTTCTAGCTTCCAAAATTCCTCACTGACATATAAATCTAGAAACAGAAACGCCACAGCTCAGATCAGACAGGCATCACTTCTAGGAAGACAAAAAACAATCAAGACAGCAACAGCAGGCACCCAAAATGTACCCTCACTGTTCTGACACCCTGACCTGACACTGACGGTGCCATGTACTTAGTTTATACCATCAAGGTTGGATTTGCAGCAGGTTTATGAAAAACACACAACCCAAAAGCAGAGTATTTTCTATAAAAGAGACATTCTGGCTCAAGAGTGCATTAAATAGTAAAATATGAGGTGTTCAGTTTGAATTCGCTCCCTGAGAGCAGTTTTGGGATCACACTTCTCCTGGCTACTGTCAAGTTCACTTTTATCATTCCAGCTGAAATGAAAAAAAACCAAACAAACCCACTTCACAAGTCTTTTAAAAGTAGAGGTGAAAACAGCACTTTTTTTCAAGGCATTAAAAAACTTTTTTCTGTTGTTGAAGTGAAAACAGAGGGAAAAAAATCAAATTGCACGAATTCCATCAGCAAGCACAGCAGCAGAGCTGATTTTGCCTTTGGACAGAGTAACAGACCAGACACCAGACAAATCTAGGATCCCATCCAGGTATATTCTATATAAATCTACATAACTCAGTTTTGCCTTTGGGAAGCTGAGAAAACATGAAGAAATGGCACGTGCACGCATATCTTAAGACATGAAGACACACGAGGTTTGTCCTAAAAAAAAAAAAAAAAGAAAAATAGAGAAAGACCAAATGCAGGATTAGTAGGTAGAATTCCCTTTAATAGATTAAGGAAAAAAAAATTTTTTCCAACAGCGTGATCCTTCCGCAAGTCTGAAATAACCTTGTTCGGAGAAATGAACACAGGTAGGGAAGAGCTATGCGGGTTTTAGGACCATGCCAGGAGCGGCAGCGGGGCAGCAGCGAGAGAAGAGCGGAGCAAGTGGGGCCGGGGGGCAGCGGGTCGGGGGGTCCCCCCGGGATGCGGTACCTGCGGAGGGGCCGCCGGGGCGCGGCTGCCGGCGCGGGCGGAGCGCGGAGCCGCGAGGGGCCGCGGGCAGCGCCAACGCCAGGCAGCAGCCGAGGATGCCGAGGGCTCGCCCCATGGTGCCGAGGATGCCGAGCGCTCGCCCCATGGTGCCGCCGCCGGCCCCGCGCCCGCGGCACCGCTTTTAAAGCTGCCAGGACGGGCAGGGGGGACGGGACACCGAGGTGGCATCGGCCGCACCCGCCGCCTCGTCTCCAGGAAGGGCCGGCGGGTCTCGCTTCCCCGCCCCGGCGGGCGCTCAGCCGGGCGAGGATTAAAGCTCAACGTTGTGTTCCTGCGGTTCAAACCTGGGAGCAGGGGGAGCTGAGGCACAAACCCACCCGTTCTTCCTCCACTGGAGGAAGTGTCTGGTCCAGGCTAACTTTGCACTTCAGTCTACACTACAGGGCAATATTTGCAAAGAACGTCAGAAAAAGCTCACGGCGCGATCCCCGAGGCACAAGGAGCTGCCTCCCCTGTTGCCAAATCTTAACCATGGGCATTTTGTCTGGTTCCTGGCACTGGAAATCCTGCCAGTTCCTGTGGGAAGCTGCAGTGAGTTTTAACAGAAAGCACGGCTTAGGGCACGAATCCACTATGATCTCTAGCACAGTGCTTTAGAAGACACCTCTGCCAAAGCTGTATCGTGTTGTATTGCAGGACCATCTTCTCTCCCATCACCTCCATAAGGGGAACAGGAAGCCCCGATTTAGAAGAGGAACCACCAACCCACCAGCTGTACAGTCTCAGGCAGGCACTGACTCACTTCAGCAAGTTCTGCACAGTAGGAGAGGCCACCACGGCATTCACAAAGGCTGCAAACTACATCAGGGAAGAGGGACCACCGCCCTTCATGCAGGGGAAGACCACAGGACAGGGCTCCAGGGGAGTACAATGGCTTTCCTCTCCCGCAAGGGGCTGCAGTTTTTTCAGCAACAGCACATACACAGACACACACAGCAGACGAATTTCAGGCAGTGCCTCCTGCTGCCGAACACTGCTCACCCACCCACTTGGGAAGTCAATATCCACCCACTGGCAGGAGCTCTCTGCCCACATTCAAGTTCCTCTGGTGCCCACTCATGGTCAGACAGACACACTCAGGGCAGATGGATCCAGAGCAGAGCATGTTCTGGGATCAGTACTTGAGTAGCACCCAACACTTTCAGCTGTTTCTCAGGCCACTTTGGTTTCATATGGTCTTTCAGCTTGCCCTGCTCCCCCCCCTTTCCAAAGTCCCATTTAAGCAGTCTGGCAGCATCTAAAGATCCCCTGAGTTTGGAGTCTTTCTGGGAGTCCAGATCCAATGCAGTTCTTCATAACCTGGAAAACCAAGTACAGCTGCCCCCAGCCCTGGGTGTACTCCAGGTACCCCCTCGGGGTAACTGGGAGGGCAGGGCACTGCCACAACAGTGGCACAAGATGGTCTTAGACCACTGCAGTTCAAGGTGCTCTCACAGGTGGCACCTAAGGGAAAACTATGGAAACTATTCCCAATAGCACAGTCATGACAGAGCAATTTTAAACATGTACAGAGGTACACACTGAAAAGACAATAACCAACAACTTGTAGCAACTTGAATCCTTTTTATCCAGAATTTAATCCAAACTAGAAAGCCATTTTTTTCTTCAGAAATAAAATCACTGAGTTATCTTTTACCTCCTGATACCTCTTGCCACAAAAGAGGAAGAGTAGAAAGTTGTTTGTAGATGGTTTGGTTTTTATTCTTTTTTTTTAAGACATTTCTGAAGTTATGGTGTATCTCAACAACGCTGGATATTTTCCAGTGTAAATAATGTTATAGTCCTACTGGGTGTCTGTCCTGCTCTTAACGCCTGAGCTCTCCAGACATCAGATTTCCCTGAGGGCTAGAAGCCTCCAGTACAATTCCCTTTTCCCAGCTCATATATAAGTACCAATCAGACAAGTAGAAGATGACAGAGTACTTGAACTGCAAAGGCTTTAGTACAGGCTTATGTGTTAGAGGGAATCCATGTTCTCTACCCACATTAGGACTTCTGCTGAAGAACAGATCAACCACTAAACCTGTAACTAAGTACCCTGCAGGATACTGAAGCACTTAAAGAAAAAAAAACACCACCCAACAGATCAACCAAGGCTATGGTAAACATTTTGTAAAAGATTTATTTAAGTATCATTTATCACAAAGAGGAAAATACATAGAAGATTAGAAGCATGCAACCATCTTCCACATTTCTATTTATTTTTCTTGCATTCACAGCACGTTGTAATAGTACTCCTGTGCCATCTCACTTCTTCCTCAAAAATACTATGTTTCAAGACATAGGATAACCAAAAAAAACCACAATAAAAGGTAAGATAACATATGAGAAAAGTGCAAAGTAAAAAAAGTCACGTATATACCACATTCAAACCCCTCCCCTTCCAAAAAATGGATAAAGGCAAACTGTCATTTTGCTGTACGATCAGATTGTCTTTATGAACTACTTTACAAAAAATTAATATAAATTAAGGGCACGATCCTGCAGACACTTATAATTGTAGCTAACTTCAATCAGAGTGGCTCAGCTGGTATTATTAAAAGCCACAAGTTAGTCACATGCATAAGTTCTTGCAGTGTAAGGCCCTAAGGCAATAAAATGTTTAAGAGCATTAAGGAGAACAAAAATTAAAGCAAACAAAATCACTCTCAGATGTGTTTTGCTTAGTAAGTTTATATCGAACATATTTTAAACAGAACAGTTTGCTCCTAAAAGCCCTGAATATTTCTATTACTTAAGCAGTTTTGCAAGATTAAAAGACAAAACCCCCAGGAAGCTGGTACAGATGTTAATTAACATAAAAATTGCTTCAGGCAGGTATGTAGGGAGGTGGAGGTTCCTTCTCAGGCATCTTCACTGCCATTTCATAGGTTGGCAGAACATACTAAGAAAAAGACATTTTGAAGTGATTAGTGCAGAAGGTTTGAAAATAAGAAAAAAACAGAACAAAAACATACATGCCCCATCAGCAACTTATTCCTCTGTTGCAGGCAGAATTTTTTAAAACTTACTGCTGTTTCTAGTAAGCAAATGAGGAAGTGAAAGAAGGTGCAGGAGCAGTTTAGTGCTCTGCTGAGCCTAACCCTGGGTCATTCATTCCACCCCACTGCCTCCTGGCTTTGCAAAGCAGCAAGAAAGGTTTGGACTTATGCAATTAAAGCTTCCCTCTACTAAAAGACAAACATTCTAGGACTTCTCTCTATTAACCCTCTTATTTTAGGCACCATCAGAACGTCACTGAGAAATAACCCACCAGAAAATTAGCTGCTTTACTGTTTTTAATCTTTCCAGTCTTTCTTTAGAAAGGTGCACAAGGCTTGGAAACATACAGGGATATGGTGATTTTCCTACTTCAAAATTAAACAATGCTGATTCCTTTTATCTGAAACAGAGGTTTTACCTGTGGAGGAGCTTCAAAAGCAGGGTACACAGCGATCTCTGGCAAATTTCTGTTGCTGATGTATTTATAGCAGTTCCATACACAGTTGATTAGATATGCCTGAAAGAAGAGAGATTTCTCTTTTTAAAGACCTCATATGCATTGGCTGAGTCAGAAATTAGATGTTTGATTACATTCCTATGACAAAAAGGAGCATAAATCAACTTAGGCAATACATATCTGAGGAATGGTTGCTATTTCACAGATCTGGCCACATACCTATTGCTCCCCATATAGCTTTGCTGTCACTGTGACTCAGAGAGGATGAACCACACAGGTTTTAGCAAAAGAATTCACAGATTCATTCAACTAATCTCTGTCAGCCTCGGCAGTGCTAATCAAATTAATCCCCAACTGGCTCATGCTTCTGTGGATCTCAGTCCAAACCTGCCAGGAGGAGGAGGAGGAGAGGACAAGAGTACAATCCCACTCATCCCCGAGGTAGCACTATTTGTCCAACTAACTGCCAGTGTGAAGGGGAGGACTCAAATACACAACTGGGTTGGCAGCAAAGTGATGGCAGAGCAAAGCTGGTTGGACTTTGAGTCAACACTGACTGCTGTAGAAAGACACACTACCACGATCTGATGAGGATTAGGGGGTTTATATTAATTTGTGTAACATTAATGTTTCCCAATCTGGCAAGTTAGCACTTAGTCATACAAAAAGTATCGAATTTCTCAATCTCTTATCTACTCTTATCTACTATTAGGCTTCTACTCTCCCCAGTCAGACATTCCTATTGGAGAACGTATAGATAATTAGTAGAATTATGTTTCATTACTTCATTTTTTCTTAAATGCAATCTGAATGCAATAAAAGAGCATTATCAGGGCAAATGTACATTATCAATTCATTTCTCTAATATGATTTGTCTGCACAAGAGTTTTTGTAATTCAAATTAATGCCTCTGTATTTAGATCCTCAAAAAGAAAATAACTGGTAATATCACCCTTCATTAGGAAGGGAGATGCAGCTCTGAATTAACTATGCATTTCCTCATTCTATCATCTTCCTTTCAAAACATGCATCCTGGTTTGTTAGGCACAGTGAGGGATTTTAAAAGTTTTGTTTAGAAAATTGTATGTTGTAACCCAATATTGTTTCACCACAAGTTTTATTACAAATATTAAAATTATCTTCACATAGGCAAAAACATGGTATTTGAAGCCTTTTTGCATTCCTACTTCCTCCTACGGAAGGGCAGAGCTGCATAAACATGCCCCACTGCACACACACGAGCTAGCTGAAGACTCTAGTACACAAAATATTAGACTTAAGTCATACCATAACTGAACATCCTAACAATTCTGCTTAAAGAAGTTCTTATTTCAGCATTAAGAAGCTAGATGGGTTCTGAATTTAGCACTGAGAATTAATGCAGATTGACAGCATCTTAATATTTCGTAACTCTTGAAAGAGACATATACTTAAATTTTACATTACCTTTAAAATGATAAATAAGGCAAAGAACACCAGAACAATAAACAAGAGACAGCTGGAGTCCAAGGAAAGAAGGTCATCTTTGTAAGGGAAATCCGGCTAGTCAAAAAAAAAAGGGGGAAAGGAGAGAAAGGGAGAAGATAAGAATGAACACTGCACAGTCAAATATGATTAAAAAAATCCAAACTTCACACCAAATGAAACAAACTCTTGTGTAAACTACCGCCCCAGAAACAAAAAGTTCTGTTTCTCACTAGTTTCTTCTCTATGCTCCCACAAAGCACAGCATTTATCCTGCCTCTATCCTGCAAGAACGGGTCACTACAGCACTGTCCGTGCCCATAGTCACATTATCAGTCTCATGTTAATAAAGATATCCACAAAAATTACTTTTACACAGCTTCAGCACAGAATTTGTACTTATGGTCCTCTACAACTCTTTCATAACTTAGTATTAATTACCTCATGGCAGTCCAACCTGTAACATACATTTGTGCAGAGCAAAAAGGTAAAAAGTTGTCCCCAAACTTCAGAAGAGCCAAGAGAGCTTCTTCAAACTTCAGACTTCCCTTTCCCTGACTACAGTAACAAAGCCTCTCTCCAACATCAATCCAACTCTGTTTTAAAAATTACTTTTTTAAACATCTGCTTGATCAGCTCTAAACACCAGCCAGAAACAGTTTGTGCTCCCTGTTAACTGACAGTGCATTTTATCCACCGAGTCTTCTTGCAGTTAAATCACAGGCAGTGTTAATGAGAACTCCATTCAGTTTCCTTAGAAAGTATTGTTGCAAAATAAGAACCACATAGAATGTAAAAAGAAAACCTCAATCTCAGATTCCATCCCATAATGCTGTAGGATCTTCCCTACACTCTTCTTCCCCTTCTTTACCAAGTAAGGGCCAATACATGTTAATCTGCAGTAAATTTCCCATAGAGCCCCATTGCTTAAAGGGTTATGAACACCCTTTCAAGTCCAGTTGTAGCCAACACAGTTTAAACCAACAATTCCCATCGCAATTCTTTCTTTATTTTCCCTGGTTTTCCTTTGGCAATGATACCTTTGGCCCTTCCATCTCTGATAAGCTCCAGTTCTCATAACCACCCATGGCTGCTGCAGGCTGAATTCCTCTTTCTTATGCACAGGAAGGGAACTGTAGCTCAGTCACTGATCCAATTAAACCAAACCTGAATTTCAAATGTAAAATATCGACTTGAGCTGAACACTTACCAACTGATCCAGGTAATCCTTGATTCTGGGCAAGTAGGTTAGAGAGCTGATGGCAACCAGACAACTGAGCACAAAGTCAAAGAGTTGGTAACAGAAAAATGGAATCAGCCAGCCTACACGATGCTAAGAAGAAATAGAAAAAAAACAGCAGTCTGTAAGTTATTTAGTTAAAAATTCAAGTAGCAAGTTTAAAACCAGGACTACAAATATACTTACAGCAATGGCACCATACACCATCATTGCACTGATTGTGAACATGAGGAGGGAGATGGCAAACAAAACGCAGGCATTTTCTGCATTAAAAGAAAAACAATAAGCATCAGTCATTTCCTGGAGTTGTCTCATTGCAGCTGACAGGTACCCCAGCTCTGTCCATTACTATGATCTGTTCTCAGCTAGTTCATCTGCGCAAACTAGCAGCAGCAGAATACAGTAGCTCAGATCTCACCTAACAGAAGAAGATCTGGTTCAATAGAACCAAAAAGTATTTGGAAAAATCCCTCTGCCTTAATCAGAAGCCTGACTAAAGCTCAGACATACCAATTACGAGCCTGACATAATTTGATAGTAATGCACCATAATAATGCTGATTTGCAATATGTGTCAGTGCTGAAAGTATGTGAGCAAATAACTTTACAACTGGAAAGAATCTTAAGTGAAGCTAACACAGTATCAACCTTTATACTTGAAAATGGCTTGGTTATGTAATTCGGTCATTGGCAGTGGGAGCAGCGCTGCTCCTTCAGTAACACTAAAGAAAACAGGAAATCACTGTGTGGAAGGTATCCCATTATTTACAAGAAAAGGCAGTTGAACAGAAGCCAATTTGTAGCAAAATCCAGGACACTCATGGAAACTGCATGATAAAGATTCTCCTTGTGCATCACAGTTACTGATTACAGAAGTACAGCTGCTTTCCAGAAGTTACATTATACTTTTCTCCTTTTTTAAACACAGAGAAAGAAACCAGCTTGAGAGTCTAAAGATGTGGTAAATGAATGTTTTTTAGCAATATTGAAGCCAAACTTTTGTGGTTCTCATGCTTGGAAAAGAGGTGATCTGAGAATACTTTCTAGTCTGAAATTGATTTGAGAAGACACACTACAGAAGCACTTATGTATCTAATTCAGTACAAGATAATATCTACATACATAGATAGCATCAAGAAAGAGCCCCCCCCATCTGAAATGCACTGTGTTGATCAGACCTAAGTCTCAGCAGTCATCAACAAGTGTGGTTTTCTTCTGAGAATTTATTACTCTCAATATTCACATGCACAATAAAACCTGTAATATTTCTTCATGCATACAAAACCCTCTAGCCCAGATGACAACACGGGAAATAAGAATCTAAGTCAAAAGCATGTGACAGACATTTTACACTAAAGAGTGAAGAAAAAACCTTCAGCTTCAGATGCATCTTTCATTCATATAAGCTTAAGGCTACCAAGTACACCAACATTCATTACAGAACACAGGACATTTTACAGACATCTGCTGTAATTTTACTTAATATCTTGGCTTTATGAGGCATTTGGTCCTTTCTCCCACTCTCATTTCATTACTAATAAATGTGAGTTATGGTCACAGGTCAGAACTCACAGACCCTCAACTCAGGTCATGAAGAATTAACACAAAACACTCAAACCCCACATTTGTGCTGCACTATTTATTCTTTGCTCCACTGGATCTAACCCTCCCTAAATTTTCATATAATACAACAGACTAAGATAAGATAAGATAAGATGTTAGAAGTGCAATACTAAACATATTTCTGCACGTTTAAAAACAAGAGAAACAAAATATATGCACAAGTTTAGAGATATGATAGTTAAAAAGCTTGGTCATTACAGACAAAAAGCTTGACACCAATTACACTTGTACACATCATACACTCAATAACAGAGTGAAAAGTAGGCTTAGTTCTTCTCATGATGCTTTCTCTTTCATTTCTTCTGCAGGTCAAACTTAAAGAAATACTTTGGTTTTACTCAAATACTTGGTGTCCCAATTCTTCTACTTTTCTTAGAAAGATGGCATGGTTTTCCTCTTAGTAAAGTCATATAGAATAGCTCTAAGCTCTTTCCTTAAATCTATGAAGATGAAGAAAAATTCTCAAAGAAAGTCTTTAAAACTGTTTTCTGCTGTTTTACTGAGACAGCAAAGATAGTAAATGTTCATGAAGAAAGCGAGTTAGATAACATGTTCCACACATACTTCAAGAGTCAAAGCATTATATGGCCAAGAAATCTTCAGAAACTTATCATCTGAGAGGCTTAGGCATAATATGAAGTAAAAATAATATTCCATGAAATTCTTTTTATTCTTGTAGAAGAACTCAATCCCAGAATAATTTAGGAGAAGTTCAGAAAACAAGACAATCACATTTAAAAGCTCTATGCATATATTACACACTAGTGTAAGGCAAATCCACCACAACACTGCTTTATTTTCTAATCAGCCAGTTGAGTTATGGACCTACCAGCCATTCTCTCGGAAGCATAGTAATTTCCGATGACTTCATACTGGATATCAACTGTTGGCACTATATTTGGATGAGTCACTTCTACTGTCAACAAGATGCCCATCAGCAAGTTCACCACCTGAGAGAGATCACAGTTACCTCAAGGTTATTTGCATTGCAACAACTAGGATCATCTTAATGACACACTAATAATCCTTTATTTCAGTTAGAAATACACTCTTTGCTTTGCCTATATGTGGAAGAAAAAAAAAAGAGAGCCCAACTTACAATTAAATTTCAAGCTGATTTAGTTAAACCTCTACCAAAACAACCAGAAGAGCACCAGACACGTGCTAGGTTTAAAGAATCACAACAAAATAACTTTACGAATTAAGGGGATGGATAACAATGACATAATTAATAATATTATTATAATAATAATTAAAAGAGGCCAGGAAGGTAAGGGTACAGCAGACACAAGAAGACACATTTGGAAAGTTTCCACTTTCTGTCACAAATTGAGTTAATTTAACCCACAAATAAAGTACTAAGTTCTGCCATGGTACAGCTTTTATAGAAGCTGGGGAGAACCATCTCCTTCCCCTTCCTAGAGAATTTATTAAAACCTCATCAGTCCTTATCAGAAAGGCTACACGAAGGAGAAAGGCTACTACAGGAGAAGTAAGGAAAACCTCACATAAAGATTGAACTCCAAAATATGTAAGCATTCAGCACAGGCTGGGTGCTCACCAGTCCTTCTCTTCCCTCATACTGCCACTGAAGACTACTTCTGTTACCCAATTTTGGTACATACCAGAAATGTCTTCAGTAAGAGCTCAAAGAACCAAAAGTAGCTTAAGTCTCTGTAAAATTGCCTTCAGAGCATTTATAACCTATTCAAGAGACTTACAGGGGCATAGTTTCTGTTACTAATATCTGGAGAGACATGCCAAAGATTGTGTAACAAAAAAAGCCATGATGGTATTTTCAAGCTGCAGACATTTTCCAATCAGTATTCAGTACAGTCACCACCACCAGCAGGATCTTTTACAATTAGCCTCAAAAGAAAAAAAACAAACTGGTTTGCAGTTTCTCACAACTTAAGAATATTTGCCAGAGATTTCTTCTTTTTCTGGCCTGGTTCCAGGAGTCAATAACAGTAACAGTGGCAAGTCTATGTACAATTATTGAAGCTTTCAGTAAGGAAAAAAGCTGTTAAACATTTAAAAGAAGTTTTACCTTTTGAAACTCATGGTTCCTATAACTTTTTTACCCACTAATGGTTTTATTGTTTGGGGTTTTTTCCCCCCCAAGGTTTAGAGATATCGTGGCCATAAGCTTGCTTGCACTTTCTGCTAAAAAGAACTTTCATGATATCAAAGCTAGTCACTTTGTAGAAATGCAATCTCAGCATACATTACACAAACTTATTAGAATTTCCAGCTACTTTGAGTCACTTGTATACTCCATTTTATGCCTTGGAACATAAAATACAGCAGCTAGTATAGCTGGCAGTGAAGAAATAGGTTCAACCACCACTATCTTTAGCCTTGAAACGAGCATATTTTCCCCCTCGTAGGACACTGCAGGGTAAACTGTCAAGTTGCTCATCTGCCACTTGTCTACATATTTTATTTTGCTTCACCACTGGTCACATGTACAGAACACTATAATCTCTCACCTGTTTAGTCCTTCTGTATTCTGGCTTTCTGCTCTCAGTGCATTTTCGACCCTTCCATTTCCTCCTCTCTCTGTGAGTGAACCGAGGGTATCAAACTATATGTTGGAAAATACCTTCCTGCTCTAACTTGTTTTAAAAAGTCATTGTCAAGGGGTAGTTAAAACGTTGATCTCTGCTTTACAAAACACAAAAGGACATGTTCGATTATAGCTAAATTATTTATTGTTTACACACAGTCATGAGTTTAACTGCCATGATAGGCTATCTGCCTGAAGAAAAAGAGCAAGCAGCACTTGAGTTACTACAGAAGTACTGAAGAACTTGAATGCCTTGGAATTTTGAGACTGTAATTCCACATCTGTCACTTTTTTTCATCCTACCCACAATCCAAATTTAGCATACAGAAGTTCTTAGTAATTTCACTAGTTCCTGAGCACAGATCAAAGTATTAAAGATTAATTTTCTCAACCTGAAATGATGTGAAAGGAAAACAGAAAATAGTAATTCAAAATACAATCTCTTAGAATCAATGAGACAGAATAAAAATAGTTACTTAAAACAAACAGCCCAGACCTCTGCCAATTAACACCCCAGGGTTTCCAGTACTCCATTGTTGCTGTTTATGAATCTGTCACAGCACTGAGCAATTCATCACATTTAACATATGGATTTCAATTAACAGCTACAGAGTCAGAGCCTGTATTTTAACTGCTTCCATCCTTTCACAGAAGCTTCATAATAGCAAGACCACAAGGCTTGTTTCAACTCAACAATCAATGTAACAGGCAGCAAGAGTATGGTCTGGACTGCAAAGCATCGCTAGAGCTTGTAAGTATATACCCACTGCAAATCAAATGTATGTTCACAAATGTCTACATGGAGAAGAAGTCGGAAGAAATATAACTTGTGTACACATCAGTTTAAGATGAGGATTGAAACCACTACCACCTCTGCCTCAAAAAAATCCCACCAACCTTGACAAGACAGCACTCAGTGAACAGAGCAGTGTTCTGAGGTAACACCTCAAATCCCAGCAGGCCCCATCCTCATCATTTTTGCCGGGAAATCAAAAATAATAATAAAAATATTTGCAAAATGCATGTTCAAAGTCTTACTCAAAAGGTGGTTCAATTAAGATAAAAACCCCCTTAATGTAGTTTTGTAATATTTTACATTTTATATTTGGGATGGCTGAGTTTAACACAGTTTGGTGTCGCCTGTATCAAAATTTAAAAATCAAAAAGCTGGTAATCATGTAGAAAGTCAGCATTTATTACACAACGGTAACAGAAATATTAGCTCCCCATATGATTAGAACTCAAAAGACAGTGGGACTATTAAAGAGCATTAACTTTTTAATTAGCGAGTTTCACCTCCACAGGGTACACTTAATGCCTTATCATGTAAGTGCTTCTCTCAGGAGGCCTGAACATGAAGTCTAGGTTTCCCCAAGCACTCAGAGTGACTTGGACAAAACCAAAAACTCCTACTTATAATTTGCTTATTTTCTTTTATGAGGCAAAAGAGGCAAATTGCCTTGCACTACTATACTTCATTTTCCTTTCACTTTTCCAATATTTTTCCCTAAACTTGCTCCCAAGTTAAAAAAAAAACCAACATGAAGTTTCTGATTTGTTTTGGTTTATTATATTGAAATAATAAAAACTGAAAAAGAATTATTTTAAATAGGGTACTTCAGAGCCTCTAGCACTGTCAGTATTAGATTGGGACCAGTTATATTCCCTATTTCTGTAAGTCTTGTTTAGTGAACAAACGACTCCAGAGATCCCCCTCAGCCTCCTGCTGACCAGCAGCAGTTGCATCACCGCCTCCATTGCAGAAGTTTGCTGCCAGAACGCACCAGCCCCTCCCTCCAAAACAATGCTATTGCTTTTAGACTGTTCATTGAACTCTGATCCCATTTTTGCCAGTGCAGTGTTCGTGCTTCCGGTTTCTGGGAAGCACTGTGCCTAATATGAAAGTTTACAGGAAGAAACAAACTTCAAAGCCACACGTTTGCAATTACAGAGTGAGGAACAGGACGTTTCTTTCTCCTTCCTACACAGAACAGCAGTGGGTGTTGTGGGGTAAACCAAGATCTATCAGTCCTGGATCTCAAGTAGGACTCCACTGGAAGTGTCCTTAACTTATCTCTTTGCAACTGCAGCAAAGATCACAAATCACAAACAGCAGCAGCCCTTGGACTGAGGCATGCTTAAGACACTGATCACACAGCATCAACAGCAGACATTTTAGAAGATAATATCCTTGTTTTCTCTGGACTTGCAGAAGCACTCAACGAGAACAGTGATACAACTGTTTTAGTGAGATGAAAACTTAATTAGATGCAAGACTTAAGAGTATGCAAATAAGCAAGGAATATGAAACGTCTAAAGAAATGGTTACATAAGATAACACGCATGAATTAAGTAGACAAACTCTTATCTTAGTAAAACATCTGGAGTAGATTGTTATGAGACTCCATTTTATGTTTGGTATCAAATTCCCTCAGTACTGCACTGCACGGGAACCCCATCTATCCAGTAGAGCGCAAGATTTTCAGTAATACAAACCTATTCTTGAACGAAACGTTCTCCCCCAGCAAAAAGCTACCTCCTTCAAAAAAACCCCAATAAAATACAAACAAAAAAACCACCAAACCCACAAACCAAAAAACACTACCCTACAAAGAAAGTTATTATTACTTGTCCCACTGTCACTTACAAGTAGAGATTATTGATTTAGAAATACTTCTCATGAGAATCTAAAAGATTAAGTTAGTGCTATATTTAAATGGTGCATTAATTACATTTCTAAACAACCTGAGATACTCTTGACCATTTAATTTTTTTTAAAGTTTGTGAGCAGACAGATAAGTCTAACTTTCACTGTCCAAACTGTACTTTGCCTTCAAAAAGGTACAAATTATCACTGAATTCTGATTTACAGCATTAGGCAAGAACACATAAGACTTCATGCAAGACCTTATTTCAGCGCAAACAGCCAACAGCTGTCCGACTTAAAAGTCCTCACCTCTTCCCAGGTCACAGCTGGGAAGAACCTGATAAAAATTTTCAATGCATAGTTTAATAAAGCGTTTAATACATTTTACATACACTTCTTTTTTTATAGAACAACACAGCTCTGAAGCACTTCGTGTGCCCCCCACTACCCTGAATTTAACTCTGTTTTTCCCTCCAGCAGACTGACTCGTTGCACAGATCAAAGCCTCATCCGTCCCTGGAGCAGCAGCCTCATGGGCGCCCCGCGCACTTTTCACCGTCCCCAGCACGCATTCAGAAAGAACAAAGAGGAGCTGCAGCCAGGCAACAAGGCGAAACATAAGCACAGTAAGAGAGAGGTAGCAGCTAGAAGTACTACCAGGTCTGTGGCCACGGAAACACATCCCTGTCCTCCGCCCCCAGCAAGTTCCTGGGTTTACAGACACTCCCGCGAATAGGAAACGAAGTGGGGAAGGCAGCGAGGTGCTTCTGTTCTGTAACAAGGATCACTGTCTCCCTATTGTTAACGATTTCTGATTCTCCTTGAGGTACCAGAAGCACATTCTTGAATTCCATCCATCAGCACGGGACAAAACTTCCGGAGGTTTTGCAGGTTTCCAAAACAAGTCCAACTCTCAATATTGCAATGGACATTTATTTTTCTATTTTAAATGACCTAATTTAAATACCTAATCAGCACCATGACATTTTTTTCCAATTTCTTCTTGAAAATGAAAGAAATATCCTTTTCCTAGAGTTTTGTTACATTTCCAACCCCCTACCTTGCTTTTTCTTCCAGTCCTCTCTCCGGCCACTTTATTGTTTGACTTTACATTTTTTTGCCAATCAAAGGACCAAAATGCATAAAAATAAAGGATCTCCCCATATTCGCTGAAGATAAACCATGAACTCTCCAAACTCAAATCCCCATGCCTGTAAAAGCAGTTTCTGTGCATGGCTCTTTCACATCAGCCCGTTAAAATTCAGCATTCTCTATTTTTTTCAGTCTGGGGAAGGGTAAAGGAAAATACAGGCTTTGGTTACAGCTTCAGGAGAACAGAAAAGTTATGATTCAACTTTTGTAAACTATCCTCTCATTTTTACTGCCCACGAGGGTAAGGGGAAGGAAAGATGAAGAAATCACTTCAATAAAGGGGAAGTCAGGTTGGTAACTCAGTTCCATTTCAGGGAACTAAGGGAAGTTGGGGCTCCAGGCCTTTAAATTGCTGGTACTGTTTTCACGCTTCTATTTCACCCTAGTTCAGAACTATCTCTAATATTTCATCTTCATCATCACCGCTCTCTCTCAGAAAGAAAGAACTCACCAGGCAGAAAGCAAAGAAGTGTTTTGGGAGCCAAATTTGTTTCCATTGCTCCTCAGCCCCTGTGCTGAGAACACCAGAGCACGGAATAACCGGAAACTTCCCCTGTTAGAAAGCTCTTCGCCAAGCAGAAGAAACGCTCATTTTGGAGACAATGACCTTCCTCTCCCAGCTTACACACCACAGCTCATCCTCCTATAACAAACCCCAAATTCCAGTCTCCCTCAGCTCTCCTCCCTTACCAAGGACACGCTCAGTGCTGTTTAAAAGTCTCAATCCCTCCAACACAAGAACGGCAATAGTAACACAACCCCTCCGAGACCCAGATTACAACGCTCTGAACTTTCCCTTCACTTTCTTTTTCCAAGCACAACAAGGGAGGCCGCCGAGGGACAACTGGGCTTGGTAAGGAAAGGAAGAGGGACTCGAGCCTCGCCGGGTGACCCCAGGAAACCCCCTCGTCCAGCTTCCCCTCGGGAAGGGAACAATTCCCTTGGGGGGG